GTGCACCGGAGGAAGGAGGCGGGAGCTCCAGGCACGGAAGCGTGATGTCCTGAGGGAAGAGGATCCTTTCCTGGCCCACAAAGCCACAGCCTGAAGCGAGTGGGAGGTTTGGCTAGTTTGTGTGTTAGAAATCTGTCTGGCTGCGATGGTACCAGGGCTGTGTGATGGCTGCTGGGTGCAGGAGGGCTGGAGTGACCCACTGAGTGCTTAAGTGCCCGTGTTTTAAAAGGCCCCTGAGAGCTGCAAGCTGCATCTGACTTATGCCAATGCAAGCTCACAGCTTATGTGACCAGAAGGTTCTTTACGCTGCTGCTGCAACAGTGATTGCTTGGAATGTGCTTCTGACTCCTGAAAGCTGTACATTCGGACCTCTCCTTCCAAAGGAGAGACTAAGAGAGAGTAAAACCAGTCCCCTTTTTGTTATTCCTTCTTCTGAGAATTACAGTCTTGTGATCCCTGAAAACCACGGGGCCTCTCTCTGCTTACGGCCTTTTTAAGCATGGGTGTCTCCTAGCTTGAGTAGGTTTGTCTTAGCTGAAACTCCCCATCTGAGGGTGTCTCTGCCACGCTGGGCTGCTCAGCCGAGGCAGGAGAGCTGCCGTAATGAAGTCATCCTTGGCAGAGTTGGTCCTGCTCTCAACCCTCCCTTCTGAAGTCTCTTCTCCCACCTCCATGCCCCGAGGTGTTGATTTTCTTTCCCATTTGCTTGTTGTGATTTAGAGATCTGCCCTCCTTTGATGCTGTTGTGGGAAGGGATTTTATGTGCTCAGGACTCGCTTTTATTTTATGTCTTGCTGGGTGCTGCCTAACCGAGGGAGCAGGTGGGGAGGGGCAGCTTTTGCCAGCCCCACCTCAAACTGTAAAATGTGAGCACCTGAAGCTATGTTTTAGTTGGATTGCTGCTCTACCGCCTGTTTTATGAGAGTTATTTACTGAGACTAAAAAAAAAAGTCTTTCTTGCCAAGGCTCTTGCCTGTGCCAGAGCTTTGCCGATGACAGAGCCCGCTCTCGCAGCGTGGAGGTGATTGCTGCAGCCAGCGTCTGGCAGCCGACACCTGCATGAGCTCCTTTCCAGCTCTTCTTCATCGCAGGGGAGAAGCTGCAGCTTTCTGCAAACGCCCTCCAACGCTTGGACTTTGCAACGTGCCCAGAACGTTATCAAAGGGCGTGGGCTGCTCACTCCTCTTCATTGTGTGAACCCAACAAAGCCCAGGGTTGTTACCTCCATGGAAAGAGAGATGCTTCTCAGCCGGGCTCTCTGAGACTGTCAAACATGAAAATAAATAAATTGCTGTTGAGGTGCAAGGCTCACGAAGGGGCAGTGAGGTTCCACCAAAGCTTCCTATTCCTTCTTGGGAGCGTTTACACCAGCGTATTCCTGCATCGCTCTCGCGGAGCAGCTTTCCATGGCCGAGCCTTGCCGTGCGCTGCTGTTCTGACTGTTTGTATTTGACTTCCTTCCTTTTCTTCGAAGCGACAACCATGGACACCGATGACTTCCAGTATTTAGTCAGTGTTTATTTGAAACCTGTCTTTGGCTGGGGCTGGGCTCGTGCTTTTGGTTGCCAGTAAAGAGCAAAGCACCGGGATTTCACAATACAAGGTTTTGCCTTTTCACATAGAAGGCGTCTGTCTGTCTGTCCTCTACCACGTTTATATGAGCAGCACTGGGAAGAAGACAAGCCTGCCTTTGGGTGCAGGGGTAAGAGGTGAAGCTACTGGTACTTCTAACCTCTCTTCTCTTTGCATAACCTCTTGCAGTGCTCGGAGAGTGTGACAAAAGGTGACAGCCCGCCTTCCCTCCCGCTCTGGGTTGGCTGGCTGCTCACCAGACTCGCCCACACTAGCGAAGTCCTGTGCAGGGCCAGCCAGCCCAGACCAGCAGGAGTGGTGGGCTGTCTTGCTAAATCTTTCAGGTGTAACAGGGATGTG